CCAGCCGCTATGCTGTGCAGGAAGTGCGGTCCGCCCAGGAGCTGGCGGCGCCGCTCGCAGGTAAAGGGGGAACCGCCTCCCCCTCGGTCCCGACCTGGCCCGCTTAACGGCCTTGACCACGCGTCCCCCCTCTCTCTCTTCTCCCCGCAGCCTTCCGGGCCGCGGTCCAGGCGCGCGGCGCGCTGGCCGTGCTGCAGCACTTCGACACTCTCTACAGCCTGCTGCAGTGAGTAGGGGCGACCCCGCAGGGGGACGCGCCCAGGGGAGGCTGCGCCGCTCCCTCGCGGTGTCCGCCCGGTGCCTTTAGCGCTCTGTGTTTGCTGTGCAGCCACTTCCGAGCTGTGGGTGCCGCTCTCAAGGAGGATGCCCTGGAGCTGATGGTGCAAGGTGGGTACCCGCCGCTGAGGGATGAAGCAGCAGGGGTAATAGAGAAGTTGTTCTCCTTCAGCAGCTCAATGATGATATAAAGGCTAATGTGACTCACGGGTGGGGTTGCACGCTCAGCCCATTCCAGCAATACGGGTCTGTAATCTTGGTGGACAATGCAGAGCTGTGCGTGTTCGCTGTAAGGGCAGGCCAACATCAAATCCCCTTCCCCATGTCCCAGGGCGATGCGTCGCTGGGATGCTTCGGCTCTGAGCGAGTGCTTCTGAACCGACGGGGGGCGGTGGGAATAGGACAGGCAAGCGTCTCCATGGTTTGGGTTGCAGGGTTCAGCCCGTGTTACAGCTGGTGAGATGTGAGCACAAATCTTTGGTAATCTGATAACTGCTCTAACCCTGATAAAGGAGGCTGACTGAGGGGCCTGGCCAGGTGTGCTCATGATTTTTTTCCAAATTTATCAAGCGGTCTCTCGTCATTCCAACGACCTTCCTGCCATCGTGGGTGATCGTGGCCTGAGTCATGCGGATCGTGCTGCTCACCTCAATGCCCTCAAGATGAACTGCTATTTGCTGACTGGTCTGGTGGAGGCCTTTGAAATGGCAACCTGCAAGAGTGATTTGGTGGAGGTGGATCCTGGTGGAAAGGTAGGTGAGGGGACTGAGGAAAAAAAACAAGTTGGAACTGGATGTAATCTTGTTGGACTCCAGAGAGGTCTGTTGCTCTGCTTATCCAGAGAGGTCTGCTGCTTGCCAGGGACCTGAATAAAGGATGTTACAGAAAGGCTCCCAAGGCTTGTCCCTGGGAGCCCCTGGTATTGTTTCACATGGGCACAAATGATACCATGGGGAAACTGAGGGTTATCAAGTGAGTCTTCAGAGCCGTAGGGATGGACGTCGAAGGTATGGGGGCCCAGGTAGTGTCCTCCTCTGCCCTACCAACAAGGGGAATGGATTCAGGGAGAAGAAGGTGGATACGGTGGATTAACACCTGGCTGTGCCACTGGTCTTGGCAACAGGGTTTTGGCTCTTATGACCATAGGACTCTGTTTTATGATCACCAGCTAGTGGGGAATAATGGGAACCATCTCAGCAAGAGGGGCACACGTCTCTTTGCCAAAAGGCTGGCCAACCTGGTTAGGAGGGCTTTAAGCTAGACGAGAGGGGGGAAGGGGAGTGTCACACAGACAAGGCAATCAGTACCACGCAGCCAAAGTCAGATGGCATCCAGCGGGAGCATGGTAGTGGGGAAGTGAGGACAGGATATGATTATAGAGGGTCCTCTTTCACACCTCCTGGGAAACCTGCAGGCTCAATTGCTTCCCTGAAATGCCTGTACAGCAATGCGCAAAGGATGGGGAATAAACAGGGCAAACTGGAGATCTGTGTGCGGTCCCAGCATCATGATCTCATTGCAATCACAGAGACGTGGTGGGATAGCTCACATGACTGGAGCGCTGCCATGGAAGGCTATGTGCTCTTTAGAAAGGATAGGCTGGAAAGGCAAGGTGGTGGAGTTGCTCTTCATGTGAGAAAGGAACTGGAATGCATGGAGCTCAACCTGGGGGTGGGTGATGAGCGAGTTGAGAGCTTGTGGGTAAGGGTTAAAGGGCAGGCTAATGTGGGAGACACTGTGGTGAGTGTCTGCTACAGGCCACCTGACCAGGATGAGGAAGTTGATGAGGTCTTCTATAGTCAGCTGGATGTTGCCTCACGATCAGAGGCCCTGGTTCTCATGGGGGACTTCAACGCCCCTGCCATCAACTGGAAGGACAACACAGCCAGGCACAAACAGTCCTGGAGCTTCCTGCAGTGTGTTGATGATAACTTTTTGACACAGGTTGTGGAGGAGCCGACGAGGAGAGGCGGGCTCCTGGACCTCGTGCTATCACATAGGGAGGGACTTGTAGGAGATGTTAAGGTGGGGAGTAGCCTCGGCTGCAGTGACCATGAGTTGGTGGAGTTCAGGATCCAACGAGGAGGTGGCAGGGCTGTTAAGTAGCCTTGCAACGATGGACTTCAGGAGGGCCAACTTTAGCCTCTTCAGAGACCTCCTCGGAAGAATCCCACGGGCTAGTGCTCTAGAAGGAAGGGGGGCCCAAGAGAGCTGGTTAGTTTTCAAGCGGCA